AATTTGAGATGTCAGAAGTATTTCTCCTGTACAATTATTGGGAAAAGGAGCACATTTATTCTCTAGGGGAACTGAAGCATAATGAAATGCAATCTAAGAACATGCAAACTTATTATCTACCAGGATGATTGAATGGTTCCAGTCAAATGAAGGATAGAAATAGGGGCTTTATATTCAGATTTTGGAAAAATGAACTCCACAGTTATATTTAGGCACAATAGTGCCTGCAAATACCTGAAAAAGTGGCAGCCTGTGGCTCGTTCATCACATAATGAATATATTTTCTCTTTGAAACTTATCTTGCGATCTATGCAAAAAGCTTTCCAAATTATTCCTGCAAATGGAAGAAACACACTTTATTGTGGATGATAAGAGAAAAACTGCTCCTAAGGGATAGGCTGGTAGTATTTTTAAACTGGCTCTTCAGAGGACAACCTTTATGCCAAAGACTACTTAGAGTAGGTGGACTCTGTGACTTAAAAAAAATCAAACACTTTACTTTTCCCACTCTTAGAAATTACTATGAAATGGTGCTATGGCATCATTAGCAGTAGGACTCTGGCATGGGCAAAGACTTCATGACTAAAACACCAAAAGCAATGGCAACAAAAGCCAAATGACAAACGGGATGTAATTTAACTAAAGAGCTTCTGCACAGCAAAAGAAACTATCATCAGAGTGAACAGGCAACCTACAGAATCGGAAAAAATTGTTGCAATCTATCCATCTGACGAAGGGCTAATATCCAGAATCTACAAAGAACTTAAACAAATTTACAAGAAAAAACAACCCCATCAAAAAGTGGGTGAAGGATATGAACAGACACTTCTCAAAAGAAGACATTTATGCAGCTGACAAACATAAGACAAAATGCTCATCATCACTGGTCATTGGAGAAATGCAAACCAAAACCACGTTGAGATTCATCTCACGCCATTTAGAATGGTGAACATTAAAAAGTCAGGAAACAACAGATGCTGGAGAGGATGTGAAGAAATAGAAATGCTTTTACACCGTTGGTGGGAGTGTAAATTAGTTCAACCATTGTGGAAGACAGTGTGGGGATTCCTCAAGAATCTAGAATGAGAAATACCATTTAACCCAGCAATCCCATGACTGGGTATATACACAAAGGATTATAATTCATTCTACTATAAAGACACATGCACACGTATGTTTATTGCAGCATTATTCACAACAGCAAAGACTTGGAACCAATCCAAATGCCCATCAATGATAGACTGGATAAAGAAAATGTGGCCCATATACCATGGAATACTATACAGCCATAAAAAATGATGAGTTCATGTCCTTTGCAGGGACATGGATGAAGCTGGAAACCATCATTCTCAGCAAACTAACACAACAGAAAACCAAATGCCACATGTTCTCATTAATAAGTGGAGCTGAACAATGAGAACACATGACCCAAGCCTGTCGAGGGGTGAGGGGCTAGGGTAGGGATAGCATTAGGAGAAATACCTAATGTAGATGAGGGGTTGATGGGTACAGCAAACTACCATGGCACATGTATACCTATGTAACAAACCTGCACATAATTCACATGCATCCCAGAACTGAAAGTATATATATATATATATATACACAAAAATTCCCTGTTCCAGGTCTCCATGGATAGAAGTCTTAGTACCAGAGGGATGATCTTTTTCAAAACATAAACCTGATGTCACTTGCTACTTAACTGTTGTCAAAAATGAGTCATTGTTTTTAAGTCAAAAATAAACATCTATAATGTGTTCCATAACCCCACAAGTACATTGGCTCTGGCCAATTGTTCAGCTTCAACTTGTGTCCCAGGGATTTGGCACATGCTTTGCTCTGTCAGGAATGCATCTTCCTTCACCTTCCCTTTGGCTAAATTTTACTTCTCAGGCCCAGCCCTGATGTTGATACCCAGAGGAAGCGTCTCTGACCTCTTTGATGCCACCAAGCTCCTTTGCCTTATATTCTCATAACTCCCTGAGCTTGTCTTTATCACAGTTACTATTAAGTGCCCCCACTAAGTTATTAGGGCAGATACCATGTCTATCTGGCTCACCACTAAGTGCCCAGACACACAGGAGATGCTCAATGAATACATAATACATGAATAGATAAATGGAGATGAGTTATATATTCTACCCTTGCATACGTTTTCCAAATAGTTAAGACATTCATTAGCATAAGCAAGTTTGTTCCCTTATTATAACAAACTTGCTTATTCTAATATTATTATTATATAATAAGGAAAAGGAAAGGTCAGCTTTCCCTTTATTTCATGTCAACTATGAGATGGCTAGATGAAGATAAAGTTAAGTACATGGGCTTTGTAATCAGACAGGCCCAAGTTCCAAACTTAATTCTACCACTTACTGGCTGCAGCATCATGGAAAGTTACCTAAACTTTCTTTGTATTCCAGTTTCGTCATCTGTAAAATAGGACAGACCTGGTTTGGAAGCCCCGATCCACCAACTGTTAATTACATAACTTGGTTTAGGTTAATAATCTCTCTAAGCTTTAGGCTCCATAACTATAAAATAAAGCTAACTATTAAAGGCTAGTAGTTTCTGTCTACCTATCTGTTTATCTCTTAGGATTATTAGGGAGACTAAATGAATAGAGTCTTCCTAATAACCCTAATATATATATTGTTATCACACATTATATATGTTAAATGAATATATGTATACATTTGCTTATAAACATGAAAAAGTGTTCAATCCATGTGGAGTAAAACAATAAAAGCAAATTAAACAATAAAAGCAAATAATGTGTGACATGATTTTCCATCAGAATATCAAAGACAAAAAAACTAATGTATGTTTGTTGGTAAAATGTAGAGAAAGAGGTATTCTCATACCTTGTCAATGGGCATACAAATGGTGAAATATCTTTGACAATATCTAACAAAATTGGAACACTTGTACAATTGGACCTAGGAATCCCCCTGTAGAATTTTGTCCTACAGGTATAACCATACGCATTCACAAAGATGTGTGCACAAGGATGGCAATGCAGTATGGCGATAAAACTGCAGGAAACAAAAAAGTTCAGCAGGAGGACCCATTAACAAATCGTGAAATTGATAAATATTACATGGCTGTTAAAATGCACTGATAGGGAATTATTTCTCAGATATATTACTTGATGAAAAAGGAATGTAAAGAGCAATATTAATTGTATTTAAAAAAAGACCACTTATGCATGTATCTAATTGTTTGAATGGGCAAAAAATGCTTTTGAAAGTTGTGGTTGTTCTTACTCCTATTATTATGAGATCTTAAAGTTGGGTTGCCAGAGAGATCCCTGGGTTTTTCCACTATGGAAAATATAGGAGAGCAGAGTGGTAGGGCGGCTACCATGGGAGGACTTCAACAGAGTGAGAGGACACATTGACCCACAGGTGCCAGTGGAGAGACAGAGAAGGATAGGAATTCTGGCAGACAGCCTAATCAAGCAACTGGGCAAAGGGTATTAGGGATGGGCAGCGGCATATTGAGTCCTCATAACCACTTCAAAATAAGTATTCTTTTCATTTAATAGATGAGCAAATAGAAGTTGAGTAGCCTGTCCAAGGTCACATACTCACCAGTGTGAAGCCAATAGCACACTGTGGGAGTCTCAGTCTAGAGGCCACAGCTTTAGGCATGCTTACATATATTGTCTCTATATAGTATACAGTAAATCCCTATTATATATATATATATATATATATATATATAAAATAACATATATATATATTTATATATATGCTATAGTATATATATATATATTTATATATATGCTATAGTATATATACTATATTTATATATACTAAATCCCTATAGTATTTAGGGATGCTAGTGCTCTTTTGATTCAGTCTTAGAGTCCTGATACTTCTGATACCTTTGCTCAAATAAGCACTCTTTATGAGAAATGCAGGCCTACTCTGTGCCAACAACTGCACTTGAAGCTGTTTTTGGTGATTTCTGGAAGCTCCCTTATTCTATGTTTGCAGTCTCCTCAGTTTCAGTTTTCTCTGGAGAAAACACTGCTTGATGGAATCCAGACGTCATGAGCCCTCCTACTGATCTACAGCCGTTAACGTTTTCATTCAGGATGGACAGCTCAGAGAAGAAACACAGCTCAGGCCTTCTAGTCTTGGAACTGCAGGAACAATAAACATCGTTTTACCTTACGGGGTACTCTTCTTTTGCTGATCAGTGTAGTTAGAAAATTACCAAGTGCTGTCAGATCTGCCTGTGCCCCAAATGAATATATTTTGGGCAGTTTCTTTGAACTGATGGAGAAAGTAGGGTTAAAGCTGATATTCAATCAAGTGTCAGCCAGATCCAAGTACTGTATAACCTGGAAAATTTTTGAAGAAATTGCTACCTCCTAGCAATACTCTCCATTCCGGTATACTCTGAAGTATAAGAACTTTGGAAAAGACTTTGGTAGTAATTAATAAATTTGTCCAGCTGGGGACAATCAGCTGGCAAATTGATATTTTTCTTTTGAAATTATATTTTAATAAAGGTATTTAAAGACTTGAGATTTTAAAAAATCGTTCCACTGCAATATAATGGTTAATTCTGGGAGCCCTGTGAGTTTGATTTGTATTTAAGATTTTTACAATCTATATATAGGTTGGTCTTTAATAACCATTTAGACATTGCTTCTTTTTATATAGGTCATGTATTCTCCTGGGAGAGTAACAAGATTAGAAATAACAAATACAGTACAGAATAAATTAAAGTGCTTCAAACTGCATTATATAATTTCAGAAAATTGGTTTCACACTGAAACATTTAAATAAGAAAACCAAATGATTTCAGAAAAAAAAAAACCCTAGTATATGTATCTGAATTGCTATTGTTTAATAAATTTTATCCTCAGCAGTGTGGTATTGGTATCTTTTCACAATGTTCCAGTAATGTGGCAGTTCATTTAGGTCAAAATGGATAAAATTATTATCATTTTTCTTTATTTCCGGTTATTTAAAAAGTTGGTTTCATTCTCCTTGAAGATGAATAGCATTTATTAGTCAAAACATCAAAGGACTATCGTCAAAGTATTTTTTAAATATAATTCTTTAAACTCTTGTATACAAAATGTTCTTATTATGCTTGGTGCAGCCCATCAGAGGCTGTTATGAGACGGGAGATAGCAAAATTGGGACGAATACTTTTCTAATTACTTAGGATAATAAAAAGTGGGGCTTGGTTTTCCTTTCACAACTAAGTGATGGCGATATGACGCTCCAGAGAGTCTATTATTCTGGCTGGTTTTGTTTGTTTCTGTGAAGTTTAGCATCACTCTCCTTGTACGGAGTCCTCAGGCCTTTTTCAATTTTTCTATTCGTGCATTAAAGACCTCTTCCTGTATTTGCAGTTTTTCGTTTATCTCGGTCTGTGAAGACAATCATAAAAAACATGGCTATGATGGAGCTATCTTTTGCTGCACATTGTCTTTGTGGTTTTGACATACTATAGTGCCTAAAGACAGACATTATCCCTCACACACCTTCCTGTTTTGCAGACATAGCTGTGTTTCAGCCTGTAGTGATGTGATAACACTTTATCATATTTCTTTGCACATTTCCAATGTATAGCATGTCTGCTATGAACAGGAAGTGGTATTTGGACAGCCATTTTTCACATAGCCTTGTGTTGGAAGATAGGATAATTTATCTGTATTTTCAGACAGACTTTACCAATGAGCACCGAATCAGAATAACTGCTTTGGGCTTAGTTATTGCAGTATTGTGGGTCTCTCCACCCATCTGCAATGGATGTCTGCGTCTCCTGTGTAATTCATTCTAAATGAGATCCCAGAAAACTTCTGTTACGAAATAACAACACAAGTAATCTTACAATTAGAACAATTTCCATAATTAAGAGTATTCATCATACATTAGAACCCTTGGAATGATGCCACTTTGTGGTATATTTTTGGTAGAAAGAAGTAAGCATTTGCTGTCAGGTTTTGTGATTGCCGAGGTGGTGATAGCATTTTGCCTCTGGCAGTGATCTTCTGTGGACTCACATCGATACCTGCACAATTCCAGAAATGCTTTCACATTATCTGAACATTAGTAGCCCAGGAAATGTCCTCCCTTTTTCACAAGGGATAATACAACTATGTACAGAAAAATCCAGTGGGTTGATGTGGTAAAATTTATGTTGTTCTTGTTTAGGTGCTTTTTAAAATGTCTAACACTGTATAAGGAGTATATATAAATATAAACATATTTATATATATTTGTAAATCTATATTTACAATAGATATTTATAGATATCTATATTAAATATATATTTATAATAGATATTTATAGATATCTATAAATGTATGTAAATTCAAAGTTTAGATTTTTAATAGCTATAACATTATTTGGGGGCTTCAGGGTAACTGTACTTGACACCTTTTATTATTTTAATTTAGATAGATGACATTTAAAAAATATTAAAAATACTGTTTTAAGCCCAGATATACTTTTTCGTATTTATTTACAAGAGTGTAATTATAACAGATAGTTTTGAAATGTCCATGCTGCTTTATCTGATGAGATTTGATTTCACCTCACAGTAAATTTGATCTTTCTGGAAAGATTGCATGCGTGCCAACAATTATGGGTTCAGAATTCACATAAGTATCATTCTTTTCTGGTTCAAACTTTAGTAAACCTTGGAATCAAGCTCTGGCCTTTGGCTTCTTACCTCTTCCTTTCTTGATGGTTGGGTGGAGGAGGAAAGGAGGGTCTGGAACTGTCCTCCAGGTCACAGAGGAGCGCTGTCTTTCTTTAAGATGCCCTGATCCTAAACAAATCATCATCTATGCATAATTTTACATAGGGTTGAAAGGAACACTGGTCTCGAAGTGGGGAAATCTAGGTACTAGTTCAGCTGCATAGCCTTAGGTAAGTCATTTCACCCCCACCTGGGATGTTAGCTCTTACCTTAAAAACTAAGTAAGGGAATAGGATTATGTTAACATCACACTGTAGTTTTTGAATTCATAATTCCAACTTCCAATTTCGTTATATACTTCACCAATGTTATCTTTTGTTGTTATGATGTCATGAAATACTTAAAAATTTTTGTTACTTCTGCCTTATTAAAATAAATTTATGGCATACAACATATTGGGATTAACAATCCCAATATGGGATTCTTATACGTATAGGGATTAACACAGTTTGAAATAATCTTATCACAACTCCAAAGGATTGGGAAGAATTGCTCCACTCAAGCAATCAATTCTTCCCATTTTCAATTAACGTTGCTCTGTGACCACCAGTAATCTCATTTCTTTTCAGCTAAGAATTGATGTACTTATCATCTACCAGATTCTGTTTCATTACCTCATAGGGATTCTACATTAACTTGGAGACCTTTCTGGTATTTTACTGAGACAATTTATCAGAACAAGCGTAGGCCTTGGGAAAGGTTCATGAAGGTGGACCTGAAAGAGTGGCATACTGACAGAGATGAGTAATGTCTCAGATCTCCAGACTTTAGTGCTTAGTACTTTAGTGCAGTCACAACCAGCAGAGTTTGGATCTAAAGGCTCCACGTCTAGTCAAGAACTGGCTGTCATTAGCCATGTCTCCTTGTCATTATTCAGAACCTTGCTGAATAGACAAGCAATCCTGCAAATCCTATGGTTGGGTCTGGTTCTTTTTTTTTTTTTTTTTTTTAAAGGAAAAAATGGAGAACCCATGACCTGGGTTCAGTAGCCTCTCATTGACCACTTCTTTGAGGTGATCTCATGCTCAGCTTTTCTAACCTGGAAAATTCAAGTTGACCTAAAAACATATAGAGTCCTAAGATGGCAAACTTCCCCCAAAGTTTTTATATTATTTTACCCTATTGCTTAGACAAGGGCCAACAGCCAACATTTAATGTAAGAATTTAGTGTTAGCATTCATATTTCTCTGAAATGTAATTCTTTAAATATATTTAAGTTTGCTCCATTGGGTATAATTTTTATTATACAACTCAGGGCCAAAATAATTTCATTTTGAATGTATCTTTAAAATTAAAATACCTAAACTATATAGGCTTAAAATGTTTGCTCTATTCAGTATAATTTTAATTAACATCTCAGGGCCAAGACAACTTCATTCTTAATAAATCTCTAAGCCATAAAGTGAGTCAATGGGAAAATAAGTGAATTAACATAAAAAACTTAAGGATTCGTACTACATTTTCAGAAATTTCTGTATTATAAAAGGTAAAATATGCCTGAAACCACATAGAAAAGGAGTTTTGAAAAAAAACTGTACTTAAAACAGGAATTATTTACTGCCGTTTTTTTCCCCAAAAATTGTAATAAAGCATGACTTTTAAACAAAGTAGGAGAAAAAAACTGTGGGAAAATTAAAAGTACCTTACAAGTAGCAATTCATTAAATCTTCCTACAGCAGGTCAGTGTGTTCAAATGGCCTATATACACTGACCACTGACATACAGCTACCTTTGAAAAGGGATATGGCAGTTCTTAGAGCCAGGAACACTGGAAGGCAGGTTTTAGAAGTGGAAAATGACCTACACATCTAAAATAGGAAGAGGAATTTAGGTAAGCAGAGAGTAATTACCCAACTTGGAATTTGACCAAAACACAAGGGTAAACACAGAAAAAGTGCCATACCACAGGAGTATTAAAATCCAAAGTAGTCTGGTTGTGATATTAGAAGTTATGAGGTTTTTGTGGATAATACTGGAATTAGAACTAGAACCCAGGTCACAGCTCCCACTCAGGGTCTTTCATCAGTTGTTGACCATGGAAACTCTGGACAAATAACTTAGTCTTTCTGTGTCTCATTTTTCAATTTATCAGGGGAAGTGCCTGCCTAACTCACATGGAGTTTACTAGGATTACAGAGAGAAAATACATAAAGGGGTCTGCCATCTTGAGCCATTGTATAAATCCACATCATCATGCTATTTCATTGAAAAATTGGCAATAATTTGGCCCAGGCTGATGTCCACTTAATACAGAAATGATTGTGGCACGTAGAGGATCTGCATCCCTGTCCTCTGGTCCACGTCCTCTCCATGCCTAATTACATTTAGGTGAGCAAGCTATTGAACTTCCAAGATGGCTTCAGGCCAATGGGAAGATAACACACAGACACATAGCTATCATATAGAGTAGGGTCATAAATGCTGCAGACAGACTGTAATATTTAAAATAATTTCAATGAAGAGTTAAAAACATACTAGTCACTACACGGAACACAGCTTTGGTAAAGATGTTTTCAATTTTGGGGGCCTGCAAACAATGCAATTACTGTCTAGTAGTTCCTCTGCAATAATTTCAGAGCTGCAGGATCGCAAAGGAGCCCAGAGCCATGATTATACATAAACTATATTTAGATGAAATGTTATCAAATCTAAAAAGGAGATATATTCTGAACTCAGCTTAATTCAACTGCACTCTGCCCTTCTACACAATAACCAGTTATTACATTCATGGGGTTGTTAACAATAAAGCTTTGTGTAAAACGTGTTCTTCCACTATTTCTGGTAAACACTAAACACCCCTTATTAAGCTGAGGACTTTGGCTGAGTCTGTTGGCACCAAATCATTAAATGTTCATGTAAATAGTGCAATAACATTTGATGACTAAAAAAGTTACAAGGTATGTTTATGCCAAGCTAATCTTTTGCTCTTTTTAAATTAGTTGTTAATACAGTGTGCTTTTAATATATGGTCTCCTATTCAGATGACAACTAAATCGTCTCCTGAGATGCATTAATATTTTAAATATGCACTATGTTTTCCCTCTGATTTATAGTTATTTCTATAAGAAATTGCAAATTTACTCAAAATGTGCATTTTACTTATTTAATCATTTGGCCTGAAAAATTATGTGAATTCCTGTAAGTCTTTGAGTTGAGGTAGAAATGGTTGTTTTTTGAACAGAAGGAGAAAGAACTCAGCATAAACCTAAGCCAGTTGACAAATCATTGGCAGCTGCTATTCATAGACTGTTGCCATCACCATTTTTATGTAGTTATTGGTGTAAACTGCTCAGCCATTAATGATAGGTGAAAAGGGACAAACTGTCTGACAGGTAGTTTAAAGATCTGAAAGCCTTTAGAAATTTGGTGAGAAGACTTAGCTAAGAATTAAGGTTTGATCTTCGGTGTTTACTGTTTAGAAATGCACTCCAATTCCTTTTGCATGAGCAGTGTTTACAGTTTGACAAGGTACGAATCCTTTACCATGTTATTTTTTGGGTTTTGTCATTGATTTTGTTAACTGATAACATGCACCACACTAGATGCTGTTGGAAAATCTATTTTGTGATCTTACTGAATCTCTGATGACTCAACTGAGCATTATGTGAAGCTGTTAAATTGAACTTCATCATAAGCATCACTCATGCTAGCAGTGTGGGAGTGTTTATAGACATTAAGGTTAAGGTTGGCTAATTAACCTGTAATAAAGTAAGTGAGCATACTATCAATACTGAGTACCTGAATGCCGATTAAAATGTCATCTGTGACTTGATCCAGCACTGATTTTACATCTTCAATGGTGAAACCAAATGAAGGATCCACATCTGAGGTTTCTGGCTGAGACTCCTCAGGGCCTTGTTCTTGATCCAACCCCTACAATATTGAAAGTAAACAACACTCAGGTGATTTCAAGAGCATTTGGTGATTTATATGGAACCTAAAACTTCTTTTTTAAAATTCATTTTATTTTACTTTAAGTTCCGGGATACAAGTGCAGAATGTGTAGGTTTGTAACATAGGTGTACGTGTGCCATGGTGGTTTGCTGCACCTCTGAACCTGTCATCTAAGTTCTAAGGCCTGCATGCATTAGCTATTTGTCCTGATGTTCTCCATTCCCTTTCCTGCCCATCCTTCAACTGGTCCGGGTATGTGTTGTTCCCCTCCCTGTGTCCATATGTTCTCATTGGAACCTCAAACTTCTATTGGATACTATTCTAGCAGGAATAATGTCAATCTGGAGGGAGATTTTGATTTAATGTTACTCTGCATTTATATTATTATTCGTGAAGGTTATGACAGATCAAGTCATGGTACCAGCGTGGTGCCTAGAGGGAGGTGAAGGTGGAAATCAGGGAGGACGTGGTAGAAAAGATTAAAATTGCTGAACTACCATCAGTGGACCCATCTTTGATTCAACACTTAGAGAAATATTTGTATTTGGTTGGGAAAAATCAGGGGCAAAGAAAATGAAGAAAACATTTAGTACATTTCCTCTCACCCCAAGAGAATATAATGATGAGGTAGGTTGAATGAAAAGACAAAAAGAAACATACCTTCATTTCTCTATCCAATGTTGTGGGGGGCTCTATGAATGTTGAGTAAATATCACATGAGATTCCTTCTTCCAGAGGTTCTGGGAAAGGGCCACCTGCAGGCTTGACAACCTCTATCACTTGCTGATGGGAAGAAAAAAGTTGAATTACGGCACAGCCTTTGGTGAGCAACCACAATTTCGGTCAGTTCCATTATATATGTACCATAGTTCCAAGCCTGTTACATATGTACCATAGCTCTAAGTCTGTTATGCCACAAGTCAAAGTGCCGCCTCCTTTGAATTTTTGATGCCACCGCCCTGTTGATTCTCCAGTGCTTTTTGACCTCCATTTCTCAAAATTAACACTTGTTTTCCCATTGTCTCAGTCTCTTTCTGTACTCTGCAATTTAGGATTTCGTGTAGTACCACCTCGGTCTTTAACTGTTTAGGGCTTCAGTATCCCCTTTCTCCTGACTAGAAGCTCTCTGTTAGTGGAGAACCAAGTTTTAGATGCTCTCTATTTCTTCTCTAGTTCTGGCAGAGGGTTAGGTGTTTAATACACTTGATATCCTGATGGGGATTGCTATTACTCAGCAGAATGTAGCTGCTGAAGTCACCATCAAGAACTTGGTGATGAAGACAATAAGGGCTGCAAAGGTTAATATATGAAGCCAGTAGATCAGGGAGGAGATTTTCCAAAAACACAGAGGGCAAGTTAAGATTACAGCATGAGCATTTAACAATTCTTTAGCAATAGGGTGCCACTAAGAAGGAGACTGATTAACACTGGAAATGAAGGAAAAGGAGAGTCAAGGAAGCCGACTTTGGCAGCACCCATCTCACCCTGACTCGGGGGAAGGAAAGCGGAGATGAGGGTATTAATAACATTAAACATTTGATTCATTTAATTAGTTGTTGTTCTAATTCCATGTTTAACAAGCAACATTTTAGTTATAATTTGAATTACCATCCCAATTGATCTGTAGAGACATGCCCACTTGAGGATTCTAGTTTTCATGCCTACTACATGCCTTGTTGTAAATTGATGAATTGTTTTACTTTATATAAGCTTGTTATTGTGGCCCAGAGATGAAGTTACCCACAATATAGTGACAAAGTCAGGCCCTGAGCTTAGAGCTTCAAACACAAGTTTGAAGACAAGCTTTTGAAAATGCATGAATTCAACAAATAATTATCATCTTGTGAAGCCTGAAAAAAAAGAACTAATCATACATTCATTTTTAATGTCTCCACAATATTTCAAATAAATTTGCATGTTACATGTCGTCATTTAAATATTAATATTTTTATTTAGATAGGATTCGGAATGTACAGGTAGCTAAATTATTTTTCTGGTCTTTTGAATGCTTGTGTGTTTTGCATTGAATTAATAATTTTAACTTGATTTTATACAAAGTTGCTGCTTAGTATAAATACATAGAAGCCCCAACGTGTCCTAACTTTATAGTCAAAAAGATTTGGAAACCAAGAGGTTAAATGATTGGCCTAAGTTCAAATAATTAGTTCTTGACAGGGCTGGGAGTTAAACCCTGGTGTGTTGACTTCTTGTCCTTCGTGGTTTTCAGTAAACTGTAATACGTCATTAAGTTGCCATACTTGGAAATTATTGCTATTATTAAGCACTTAATTTTTATTCTGTTAGGTGACATCATTCCAGATTGTTTATCTGAAGTCAACTAAATGTTAATCAAAATAGAATACTGAGAAAACATATCAGAACAGTTCTTTTCTCTTATGCACTTCCATGAGCGATTGCATTTTTCCTAAATGGGGCATACAAGAATTTCATCTTCCCACAAAATGATGTGTACCTTTTTTCACCACTCTTGTTTTTCATCCTTCCTTTACCTTCTATCGCTCTTTATTTTACCAAGCTAGGAAAAGGAGACACCTAAACCTATTTTAGTGGCCTCTGAAATATTAGAAGTAAAATAAATAAGTTGCCCATGGGAATCAGAGACAAGAGAAGATGATGAGGTATTTACTTAGTGGTATAGTCTTTAATATACAGTGAGGAACAGAAAGTTTGGAGTGGGGGTGGTGGGGATGAGTGAGATACTGAAAAGAAGAGAGAAAGGAATGGAGTTTACTGAATTTACTGCAGGCACTGAGATATTCTGCAAGATAAAAGTATTGTTTTCAATGCAGTAGAATTTTCTCTGGTCTACTGTCACCGTATTTGTCTTGCTGCGGGCTTGGCTGTACACAGGCTAGGCCTTCCTGCTCACTTGCCCTCACCCCCTGTGGAAGTTCTCAATAGGCTGCCTCTCTAGCCTGGTAGTAGCTGATTCTACCATTGGCCCTTTCCTACTTGTACCTGTTTCCCCATCAGGTTGTACACTTAAATGTAAGCAGGTATTTGTGTACCTGCTTCTCTCATTGCTTTCCCTCACATCTCTGTGCTCTGGATTTCTTTTTTTTTTTTTTTTTTCCCATTTATTTATTTTATTGCATTTTAGGTTTTGGGGTACATGTGAAGAATCCATGATTCTGGATTTCTTTATAAGGCTCATCTGAATGACTCACCAACTACTCTGTTTCCTGGTCTTTGGCACTGTGTGTGTGTGTGTGTGTGTGTGTGTGTGTGTGTGTGTGTGTGTGTGTGTGTCTGTGTGTGCTGCGTACACACTTGGAAACTGGAATTTCCCAAGAACCCGAAACTCTGACTGAGAGTTGAGCTTTTCTTCGCCTTGATTTTTATGAGTGCAGCCCACATAACTATTAATTTGATTTAACTGGCACACAAAAACTTGGGGGTGACCATTTCTTTTCTTCAGGATGTTTTGCATACTATTAGTGAACCAAACCCTGGCTCTGTTTTTCTCTTTTATGAAGAATTACACTTAGCTGTGTTAGTGAGATACTGCAAGAGGAAAGAAATGTCCCAATTTCAGATGAGGCTAAGTATAAAGGCTTTTTATTAATAATAATAAAGTACACTGTCAAATATATGGTTTGAAATAAACACAATGCCCAGAAGCATCACAGATTTTTTTTTCACATTAAAAATGGTAGCCTTTTTAAAAAGCGAGTTTAAAGAAAATTAGAATCAATAATTGTGGTGAAAGCCCAGAGCCAGAAAATATGTTTAAATGAAACCGTCTGATGCAATAGTTTCTTTACAAAAATACAATTAGGCCTTTGTATTTTTTTTTGTAACAAAACCTCATGTTTTACAACATCACTGGTTCTGTAATAAAATCTATTTAAAACAGAGAGACATGGTCAGCTTTATTAAGTTAGATTTTCTGAAAGAACGTTATAATTTCCTCAAGTCTATGAATAGTTGAAGCAAATTAAATAAAGCTAGTTTTATAACTATTTTTATACATTCCTGTAGAATTGTAATTGTCTCATTTTTTTCCCTCAAAAGTCTAATATGTTACCTCTTAAATCTGGAAAAATAAAAACAGAAAAGGATCAAGAATGTTTATTTAAAAAACACTCCTATTTTGTCCCTTGATTTAGCAACCTCCCTTTTTGTATATGAGAATAGCACCCATAATCTTCAGATCAAGAAACAAAGGGAAGGCCTTTAAGTGAGTTGCCTGAGGCCTAATGCCGAGATTAAAAATCAGGAGTTTCTGATTATACACATGCATCCATTTGGCCAAATGATTGGTTTTGCTTGACTTTCAAATACTCCCTAAATATTACTTTGAATGTAAAGCAATAAATGTGTTTCTCTTGCCATTTTGAATGCTTGAACACAAATGGATATAATAAAAACAATCATGTTGTTCCATGTGAATGCCATTTATATTTTTTCTGATAATGAGCAGACCATTTGAACTAAGGTGAGTACATTAAAAGCTCTAATAAAGAAAAGAATAGATTTCTAAACAGAATAATGGACTGTTAAGTGAACATACAATAAATAACATCTACAGATGTGGTTGCTAGAAAATTAGTTTTGCATAACTTGCCAATATACATTTCCCCAGATGTTATCTGTTACATGAAAATTAAGTTAGTTACATTGTTCATTATGTGCACAATGCATTAGTGTTATTTAAGATGGTTTACATCTTAGTTGAATTGTGCTATGGTATTTAAAGTTGAATTGTGCTTTAGGTTGAATTGTACTATGGTTATTTGAAGAATATAAAGTAAATGGCTTTTTGACATAATTTAATCCTCGTAAGTATAAAATTTCATTGCCAAACATTATGTATCTCAAAAAATCAAGGTCTTTATTTACAAGCCAAATAAAATCATAAGAAATCTTTAAAAAATTTGCATATTCAACATGAAATGGACATTCACCATGGGAATAAATACTAAGAATTTTGAAGTCTTTTGGAACTAAGTGCCGGGTCAGTTCAGATCTAAAAACATGCTTATAGGACTCAGACTCTGCTTCTAGATCTTACTGTGTCTGAGAAGTGGTATAAAGATTCTATCTAAAAATTTTTTCACTTCATGCTTTCTTTTTCTACTTTTCATGTTAACATTATCAATAGTACGAACTCTGATGTATTGTTTCACTTTAGTAATGCTTGTTTGGAGAGGGTGTAGTGATTTGCGTGTAGTGTTTGTGCCACTAAAATCTATGACTAAGGGGGTAATTATTATTAGAATCTTTTAATAAGTTTTTGGAGATATTAAAAGTGTGGTTGAGATGATAACTTTCCACTTTTTGAATACCAGAAAGCAAGATAAATCTGCTCAAGCTTTTTTGAGCTACAGGCACACACACAAAATACTGGTTTGCTTTGTAAAGACATTTGTTTGGAATTGTCAGATGATGACTTCATATGTAAATCAGAACTTACTATAAAATGTCAAAGTTTCAAAAAGTAAACTTTATTGCAAACTTTCCTGACTATTAACTAAGGAAAAAAAAGGCACAGAAATTCCTGTAATGTTTTAACAATTTTCCCCCCTTGAAGAAAGGCATTACTCATTTGCAAGTCTAATTAAGAAGTACTTGTGTGGTTCTGGAAATTTTTAACAAAAACTTGCAACACACTGACCACAATATACTGCACATAAAGTAACCACATATGAATGCCACCTGCAAAATGCAATAAACTCTAGTAATGTCATACTGAGGCCATAAATTTTAAATGAAAAGAGGAAATTCAAAAGCCAAGATTATCAGAGAAACAAATTAATCCA